ATTTGGGTGGTGAACATGATGTAATCTATGCAGAAACAGAAGTATAATGATGTACACCTGAAATTTTTACAATGTTATAAACCAAGGTTACTGCAATAAACAAAAAAAATTTTTTTAATTATAATAATAATAAAACATAAAAAAAAAAGAGAGCAGATTAGTGGTTGCCAGAGGCTGGGGGAAGGGGAGATTGGGGAGTGACTGCTTCATGGGGATGGAGTTTCTTTTGGGTTAATGAAAATGTTCTGGGAACTAGATAGTGGTAATGGTTGCACAACATTGTGAATGTACTAAATGTCTCTAATGATAAAGTTTCTGTTATGTGTATTCTACCACAATAAAAAAAAATTTTAATATATATAAAAAAATAAAGACATGAATTCGCTTTGTATAAAGAAAGAAAGAAACACCTAAAAAAAAAAAAAAACAAACTTGAGGGAAAAACGAAAGAGGAAAAGGGGGAAGAAAAGATGGAATGAACAAGGGAAGGAAGAAGGTAAGTAAGGAAATATGAATCTCGTTTCCTAGACCACGTGTGAAGTGGAATTGTGACTCTCTCATTTCTACAACTGGTGCCAGTTCCCTGAAACTCCTTCTGGTGGGAGTACCTCCCCACACCCAGTGATTAGAATACTTAACAGTGTGGAATTTTCATACAACATGACCCTTAAAGCAGGCCAACTATTTCACTGAGTGCTTAAAGCCCGATTACCTGTTCTAATGCTGGTGGACATACTGGCTATTTGCACTTATTAAGGTACAGTTTGTGTAGGTAACTGAACTCTCTGGGTGATTTTATTATAGAGGATTTTCTCTGCATATGATTTCACTTCATGTTGACTTTAGAATGTAACTCCAACATAAAATGTGATTTCTTTATAATGGCCATCATTTGCTTACTATTCACTGAAAATTCTTTGGGTTTTATATGAAATATCTCATTTAATCCTCACAATCCTCATGAGGGGAAGTGAATTTTTTTTATACAGTTGAGGAAAGTCATATTCAGTTATTTACCCACAGAGGTCAAGTCAATAACTGAACCCAGGATGTCCAACTCTAATACCCATGCATGTAAGTTCTATCCTATACCGCTCCTCATATATCCTCCTAGAGAGTCAACTAGTTTCTTCATATGAAGACCACCAAGAGCAAGTCTGTTTTTCCCAAAACAACTGACTGTCTTATATATTTCCTGGCCAGTCATGACTAAATTTTCAGTCACCTTTGACTCTCATCCTGCCTCTCCTAGTCCTCAATCTAATTGACAGCCACATCTTATTAACTTCACAATTTCTTATAATCATAGCTTGGTATAAGTTTGATTTATACTCAGCATATTTGTCTTATAATTATCTTTATAGACATAGTATCCTTATTACTATACTGCAAATTACTTTAAAACCTTGGATAATGTCTGATTCATTAGTGATGATGTCCCACTCAACAGAGATGATGCCCTATTAATTTTGAGATCATCTCTGCTTGGATGATCAGGGAAGGCTTCATTCTGTTTGTACTTTATCTTGAAGTATAGGTGGAATTTCTAGCAGATGCAACAAAAGAGCATTCTAGAGGAGAGAAGAGTATGAGCAATGATGCTGAGGTAGGGAAACTCAAGATGGGTTCAAGCAATTCCAAGGACTTCAGTTGACGTGGAACTTGGGTCTGTAAGATGAACTGAGGGTAAATTGTGAAGAGCCTTAAGCACAGACTAGGAGATTTTTGTTTGTTTGTGTATTCCTATTCAGGGTAGATAATCAAAGTTTGGGGATGAGAAAGTATGTCATAATGAAAAACTAAATTTCAAGGTGAATAAGTTGGTAGTGTACAGAGGTGAAGCGCAGGAGGACAGGAGACAATGAAGCTACTTAAGGTTCATCTTCATAAGTCCTAATAGAAGGTGATAAGGGCCTAGACCAGGGAGAGCAAAGGGTTTCTTCTTTGCACATGCATTCTAAACAACCCAAAATGGTTACCTAGCACCTCTGTGATAAAGAACTTTTAACGTCGATTCAGTGGTAAAGAGCACACACTGTATCAAGTCACCAATGTCTGCCACCAGAAGAGGAAGTGAAGAATAATGGCTTACCCTGGTCTCAACTCAATAAAATTTGGATGAGTAGGAAGAGATTCAACTACACAACATCTGACAGCTTCTTGTTTGCAAACTCTTCCTCACTCTAGGACTATGAGTGACCCACTGTTTAGCCTCTAACCTTTGCCCTCCATCTTCAATCCCTGAAAGACCATTCAAACACTCATGTTTAAAACCTATCTTCAAGACCCAGCTAGAATGTCACCTTCCCTACCAGGAAGTATTTCTCTTTTGAAATTCTACAGCAATTTTATTTGTCCCTCTTTGTGCCACTTATCTCTTCCTTCTTGTATTTTACTAGGCTTCTAACTGCTAGACTATGAGCCCCTTTCGATAGAATTCACGTCTGATTTATCTGTGTATCTCCCACAGTACATAGTATGATGAAGGCAGTTACATGTTGAACACCTGAAAGAATAGAGGTGAATCCCAATCTGGCCTGGAACCTAAGCTTTAATTTCCAGCCTCTAATAGCCTCTGGAATTTTGCATGTCAACACGCATTCCTATAAACTTGACATGCCTAAACTTAATTATCCTATCTACCTGCCAAAATAGTTCTCATTCCTAACTTCCCTCTTTCTGTCTTTTTCCTAATTACCTACATTTAAATCTCTGATTCATCTTTGAGTCTCCCTTTTCATTCGGCTCTTGCATCCAATTAGTTACCAAATCCTCTCCATTCTTCACTCTCTCACTGGAAGATTTTTCCTGATCCTCTCCATCTATTCCAATTCTGCCCATCCTTCAGGGCCCAGCCCTACTCCCACCTCATTTCATGTAACCTTTATTGAATATTCCAGCCAAATGTGTTTTTAATTTGAAACACTAAATCTTTGTAAGAGTGTTTAGCAATTAATCCCAACTTTGTGACATCTCTTACTTTTTAATTTTTAAAACAATTCTTATATTATTGGCTGACCCATTTATGTGTCTATATTCTATTTATCCTCATTTATATATCAAAATTATATATGAACTCCTTGAGGGCAGAGACGATGTATTCTTCCTTGGTGCATTATAAAGAGTTTCTATCACAATACTGCACATTTAATAGGTATTCAATACATCTGTTGAGTAACTTCAGTAAAACCTAATCACCAAGATACATATTTTTTTCTATAAAGAACATATATGAAAGTTAAAGTAACTATTTACATATAATTTGCCTTGATCCAAAAGGATTTTGAGGTCTTATCTAACAAATGATGTTAAAAAAGGAATGTTACTTGAACTTATATTGTGTATGTATATATATAGATGTAATTCATTTCAGACCTCATGTTTCAAGTTGATGGAGTTTTTATATTTACATAGTCATTCCAGAAACATTAATTTAGTGCCAACTTTGGAACAGAACTTTAAAGTTTGTATCCAGAATCAAAATATTAATAAGATGCCACCCCTTCCCTTATTAGTGAGTGTGAATAAAATGTATGTAAATAAAATACATAAGATATGCATATATAAACACATGTTCATGCAGACATATACATGTTTAAATTGATATTAATTACACAGAGATCAATAGTCAAAGGAAAAGTTAAAAAATGAGGTCATTTTTAGTACAACTCTACCCAGGAAACACCTGAAACATGCATTGTTGTCAGAGCCACTTTTCTGAAAGCCCAATGAGCTCTGACCCATCCTTTTCTTGAGTCCCAGACTCTCCCAGGGCGTACTCACAGGGCAGCTCTCCACGTTGGTGGGGCGGTGAGGGATGATAAAGGGTAGGACATCCAACCACCCTGGGCAGGCATCAGGGGTGTGGCTCTGATTTTGACAGCTAGTCAGCACCACAAAGTAGTGTGTTGGGATGGGAACACTGGTGTTCACTACATATCTGAAAACACAATTGAAAAGACTGGATGTTAGTATACTTTTGCTTCTAAAGATTAAAAATGTCTTTAAATATTTTTAAAGAAACACCAAGGCAAAAGAAGAGTAAAAGAAAGTAAATAAACAGAAAGTACAAAATCTTATCACATATTTTTTGACTTCAATGAGCCAGAGATTTACAGAAGTCCAAGCTTGGTCATCTTAATATTATAGGAAAATATTAGAATACAAAGAAAAGCAGAGCGTGATATGATGCCCTCTGTGTTTCCTAGTTCTGTGGACTCCACACTTCACGTGACCTTCTCTAACAGAAGAGTGGCTGGGAAGGAGCCCTGACTTGGACTCCAGCTGTGCACTTCCACATGTGTACTAATCCTCTCACGTTCCATGACTTACTAAGTCTCCTCTACTTTAACACAGAGGTGATCCTGTGCTACCATCTCCTGTAGACGTGGAGATAAATCCTTGAGTTTCAGATAACAAACATGAAAGTACTTTTAAAAGCTTTCAGTGCACAATAAAGGTAAGTTATTAGAATGAGTCCACTGAAAGGAACATGAGCTGGTATAAGCAGTAACGCATCACTGTGATTCAGAACTTCTACACTGACTCAAGCTAGACTGCTTGGGTTCGTATTCTAGCTTTACCACTTAATAGTTGTGGAACACAGACAAGTTATTTAACCCCTCTGTGCCTCAGTTTCCTCACCTGTAAATGGGGGCTAATGGAATCTAACAAAGGACGTTTTGTGGATTAAACGAAGCCTATGAAAGTGCTTAGAAAAGCAGCTAGCATGCAGTAGAGTGCTGTCAAAGAGTTTGCTAGAATTATTAAATGGTGAAATGCAGGCTCCATAAACACTGAAATAGGGACAAAGCAAGCAGTGTAGGACAAGGCCACACACTTAGTTGTCATAAATGTTACGCTGCAGGAAGGCGCAGGTAGAAATCATTGCTTTACATAATCTAGGCTTAGACAGCACACTTATTTAGTTTGGCCCTACCTACATTTTGATAATAAAGTAAAATAATGGACGACACTTCTAAACCTCTGTATTCCTGTGTGCTGCTTTCAAAGGTAATTCTCAGCAACCTGTTACAACCAGGTTTAGTACAAAGACGTACAGTTTAGTGGGACTAGTTTTCTACGTGAAGCCTACACCCTCCCCTGGGAAATACTTTTATGAATCACCCACTATTGGACAATATTATGAATCATCACTACTTGATTTTTTAATTTATTATATTGCTGGACTAGTTCTATATTTATCAATAGTATAGTGAGTCTTGCCCATCTCCTTAACCTTTACAGAATCACCTTCTTCCTTTGCCCATTAGTTTAGAAATTTTCTGAATAAAAATGTTGCTAAACATTTCCTGGAAATTTTTTCTTTGCCCATTAGTTTAAATTTTTGCAATGTAAAGTTTTGGCTAAATATTTAGATAGTCTAGTTGAAAATAATCAATGATAACATCTCTATATAAACATACTTTGTAATGTTTAGAATACTGAGCTTTTGTTTAAAATACTGAGGTTTCTCCTCATGATACCCTATTGCTAAATCAAAAAGTCCATTTGGTTTCAAATTACTTACTCTGTAACTTCATTTGGAGCATCAAAATGACCATCATAATTATAATCAAATACTGGTCCACTAACCACATTCACTCCATTTCTTTCCATGGCATATTTTACAAGAAGAACACTGTGGACGTAATCCCATATTTCTAAAAATAAAAGAATAAGGTGTTAAATATCTACCTCTATTGAACATGGAACTATTTTCTATCATAGACAGGTACATTTAAATAGCATCAAATTCTGCTTCAATAATTGTCAGTGGTAATTGGATAATTCTGCAAAATAGTTCATGCAACAAAAATAAATGGCCACATTAATGATAGATTTTTGTTGTTCATGTGGTTGCAGTCTTGAAATTACAGTTAAATATGTCTCCAAATTCCTCCCTAGGGCTGAGTTCCTTTTGGGACTGTGAGTATTAAAAATGGCCAGAACACACACGCTGCCTTATTAATTATGACTCTAGGGACAAACACCTTTCATTTAGTTATGAGGCGTGTCAGTAAAATTTTGTTTTGTGAATAGCTCTTTACAGTTAAATTAGGGTTACAAGCAACTTAACAAAATTCTAGCAACAAGTCACCCAAAGTTGAAGTAAGTTGAAAAGAAATTATGTCAGAGATCCTTCCTGTTTCTATATTTAAAACGTTAGAACAAAATGACTCAATATCAGGAACAAATTGCAATAAAAGATGTGCTTAGTTTGTAAGTTCATAGAGTCACTTAGGTATTTTTAAATTAATAATCTAAATATGTACTTACTTTTGAATGCTTCATACATAGGAACCAAATTACTTGTAATTAAAGCATCATATTGACTCTCAGAAGTTCTGTTGTTTGCTGCAAAACAAATTAGATTTATTAAATCTAGCTATAAGAGAAAATACGCCATCTTACATAATGTGCAAATTACTATTACATACGAATGTCAATTTATTAGCAGTCAAAACACAAAGATACTAAGTAGTCCCCAGTAGAGGTCATCAGTAACGCAGGCGGTTTTATGCATTTGATACTGTAGTGGGTTGAATGGTGACCCTCAAAAAGCTGTGTCCAAGTCCTAACCCCCTGTACCTGTGAAGATGAAGGTGGGAAAACAGGGTCTTTGCAGATGTGACTAAGTTAAGGGTCTCGAGATGAGATTATCCTGGATTTAGGGTGGGCTCTAAATCCAAGGACTGGCATCCTTGTAAGGAGAGAGAAGGCTGAGAAGAGGAGAGACTCAGGGTAGAAGGCCATGTGAAGACGGAGGCAGAGCCTGGAGAGATGCAGCTCCAAGCCAAGCGACACCTGGAGCCCCCAGAAGCTGGAAGAGGTAAAGAAGGATAGTCCTCTGGATTCTCTCCTTCAAAGGGAGCACGGCCCTGCCGACACCTTGATTTCAGACTCCTGGCCTCCAGAACTCGGAGAGAATACATTTCTGTTGCTTTAAGCCACCAAGTTTGTGGTAATTTGTTACAGCAGCCCTGGACAATCCATATAACACCAAAATGAATGCATAGCTATTGAATGTGCACAAAATAATAATGCGATTGTAAATAGTACTTCCGAAATAAAATTTTCTTAAGAAAGTGAGTTTTAACCCAATGAAGACTGCTGACTGATGACACCACAAATGATTGGCTCTGAGGACTCATGGACGTGCTGTCGAGCAGAGTGAGTGCTGGGCATGTATGCTCTGGAATCAGACTGCCCAGGTTGGAAGCCCAGCTCCACTGTCTCCCAGCTGAACCACCTGAGCAAAGTGCTCTGTCCCTCTGGGCTTCATTTGTCTCATGGCATCTAATTCATGGAAATATTGTGAGGATTAAAAAGGTACAGGCATATAAATGTGTATTATAATACTTTTTATATTTGAACTCTGCTCGGGTATCTTAACTAAGACTTAAATGAAAGGCCAGTGGGTGGGCACCAAAAGGCAGAGACAAACAAGTTGTTGGTGGTTTTTTCCTTAAGGTTTCATATGCTGTTCACCATCCTCAGATCCCCTATAAGCCTTTTCTACTTTTTAAGCTGAAAGTTGGGAGGACAATCAACATAACATTACCTCCTTTTCAGAGGAAAATAAGATTTAGCTTATAATGGAATTTCTAACAAACAGAATTTATAGTGGAGAGTTAGAAGGGAGTTTCATTTTATCCTTAATTTTTTTTAGATAAGCCATTTAGTTACTAATTCATTTCCTTGTTGAGGCAAACATTTATATATCAACCTATATCTTATGGCTTCACAGACACAATTTTATATGCCAATCTAAAAATTCTATTAATAAAATGTTGCAACTATTTAAGGTTTATCCTAGGGTTTGCATAAGTTTGGTAGCTCTAATTGACTCTAGATATGTTAATAAGATATATCAGTTTATTTGTCCTAATTCTGTGTTAGGAGCTTAAATTGTTGTGCTACTTGCCTTATTTAACCTTTTTTTTCCCACTATAAATCTGACAATCTCTAAGTTATAAATCTCTCAACTGACCTCTTTGGTCATGGCTTCCAGAAAAATGAAGTCAAATATCAGGAGTAACCCCATTCCCAGAAGCTGAAATTGCTGAAAATATCATGGGTGAGTTAATGAAAACGACATTTCCTGCAGAACAGGAAAGAGATTTGAGTTGTACAAAAATCACACTGGCTTTTGCATGTTCCCAAGAGAGAGAGACGATTTCTCAAATGAACTTAAAGTTCATTCAGCTGCTGAATCCACAGTTCAAAATTGTTGAACACACACAGTGAGTAAGAGGCCTGAATTCCTGCCTGATTTCTTTTCACAGGCACAGCTGCATTCTCCACACAGGCCTGAGCTTGGGCAGTAGCCAGAAAAAAATGCTTTTTAGACTCTTGTGTCCTTCTCCAAAGAATCTTCAGTTTTAAACCTGCCGAACTCTCTGAACATCTGGGCTAGATCAGACCTTATTTGTATTTCCCACTGCAAAATTTATTAGTCTTTATTACAGCTGTCACACTGCTTCAGGCCAGCCCACAACCACTGGAAGCCTCCTGGGCAGCTCCTTTAGCCCAAGCAGGTAGTTTTGGCGGACAGTGTTTGTTTAAGGCACATGCCCACATCCAGCTGATGAGGGCTTTCTAAGCTGATGCTCTGAAAAAGAGTTAGGCTGAAGAGTGATGTTAGCATCATGGTGGAGTGAGCTGTTTCCTTAGTCTCCTGCCCCTAAGTTACAACCAAATGGACATTCACTAACCAACAGAGGATTCCCTACAAAGCACAATAGGACATCTGAGAGACCCATGGAGCCATACATCTGAAGGTGGGGGTACTGAATCCCCAGAAAGCAGTGGAAGTAGGTGAGCAGATCCCTTCGCCCTCCCCAGAGGCAGCAATCTAGATTGTGGGAACTCATGCCGCAGCCAGCCCGAGATTGTAAAAGGAGGTGGGAGATGAGGCAGGCCTTCATGCAAATGCTTTCTCTTTCAGATTTGCAGCCCAGATTTGCTGGTGGGAATGCAAACTGGTGCAGCCATTATGGAAAACAGTATGGAGATTTCCCAAAACATTAAAAATAGAAATACCATATGATCCAACTGTCCCACTACTGGGTATGTATCCAAAGAACTTGAAATCAAAAATTCAAAAAGACTTATGCACCCCTATGTTCATTGCAGCATTATGCACAATAGCCAAGATGTGGAAACAACCCAAGTGCCCATCAACTGATGGATGCATAAAGAAGATGTGGTATATATACACAATAGAATACTACTCAGCCATAAAAAGAGACAAAATTGTCCCATCTGTGACAACATGGATGGAGCTTGAGGGTATTATGTTAAGGAAAATAAGCCAGACAGAGAAAGACAATCACATGATTTCACTCATATGTGGAAGATAAACAAACACATGGATAAAGAAAACAGATAAGTGGTTACCAGAGGGTAGTGGGTTGTGGGCTGGGCAAAAGGGGTAAAGGGCTATATATGTATGGTGATGGATAAAAATTAGACTATTGGTGGTGAGCATGATGCATTCTATATAGAAACTGATAAATAATAATGTACTCCTGAAATTACACATTATTATAAACCCTATGACCACAATAAAATAATTTAAAATATATGTATATATATATATATACACATGAATTTGGAGAAGCTGAAAGGGGAAGGAGACTGAAAAAAGTATTTGGAGAAATGGTGAAGAATTTTCCAAATTTAGTGAAAACTGTAACTCCACAGATCCAAGTAGCTCAGTGAACGCCGCGCACAAGAAAAATTAAGAAAAGGGACATAATAACCAATACGCCTAAAAGCAGTGACAGAGAAAATCTTAACAGCAGCCAAAAAAAAAAAAGACGTTACATAAAAAGGAATGAAGATAAGGATGACAGCAGATTTCTCATTGAAGCAATGCAAGACAGAGGACAGTGGAGAAACACCTTTATAGTACTTTAGAGTAGAAAAAAACTGTCAACCTAGAATTCTATATAGAGCAAAAGCACATTTCGAAAACAAAGGCAAAATACTTTTCAGACATACAAATTCTTAAGAATTTATCACAGCAGACCAACACTATAATAACTGTTAAAGGAAGTCCTTCAGATAGTAGCGAAATGATACAAGTTGGAAATGTGGATAGACAAAAAGGAATAAAGAATACCAGAAATGGCAACTACATGGATAAATATAAATTTTAAAAAAAGAGTTATACTAACCAGGAGGATAGAGGAAGCCATGGGAGATATTCTCATCTGCTGTATAGAAGGAACATTTTTGGCTCTCAGAAGGAGCAACCCTGACATCAGCCCGCAGACAGTCTGGGAGAGTGGAAGGAAGCAGTGATGTATCTCCCTGTATAAGGAGAGAAAAGAAAAAAAAGAAGAAAAGAATGCCCACAGTGTGGCTCACCCATCACCTTATATGGCTTGTAACTTCCCTAGAATGTTTTTCATGTAATCTTTTCCTATTTTCTTAATGAATCAGGTCTATGCAAGCAATGGAAGTGGATGTCTTCAGCAATGTTTTCTTCTATGCTCCTCTTCTGGTTAGGGACACCAGGAGGGCAAATCAAATACACCTTGGAAAAGGATATTTGCAGAATAAAACCTGACTTGAAAGCAGAGGAATAATGGGAGCTACTGCTAAAAACCAAAATCCTTTTCAGGATCTAACTTTTAGGTGGGGATATATGTTGTGCTTCAATAAAAATTGAAAACAAAATATAAACAATTTATTTTTAAAATACACATATGAACTAAGGATATTATTCTTCAGTTGGGCAAGAACTTCTAATCAACCTAAGATTAATTCAAAGAAGCTCTAATTGTCAAAACTTACTTATTTGAGGATTTAAATAAATTTGTAGCTACGCTTCATTCAACGTGAAATATATGAATTTTTTTAATAATTTTCTTTGTAACTCCATTTGAAGACTAATATATTAATTTATTCACTAACAGGCATCCTATAATTGTGCTGTCTAACCCAAGTATTTAAGGTAATACAGTATTACATAATTATATTTTCATTAGCATATAATCATGAGTAAGTAAACATTTTGCTATTCAATTTTCTCAGAGATTTTGATTTATATGCTATCTACTGCCCACATGTATATATTTCTTAACAAAATTTTTTATAATTTATAAAAAGATTAAATTAAATTAGGATATCTTTCCTCTGACACTGCATTGTACTAAAAACAAAAACCAGCTGTGGAGTCTAAAATGTATGTGGTAATCATTTTAAAATACATGTGTGGGGCCGGCCCCATGGCTTAGCGGTTAAGTGCGTGTGCTCTGCTGCTGGCGGCCTGGGTTCGGGTCCCGGGTGCGCACCGATGCACTGCTTCTCTGGCCATGCTGAGGCTGCGTCCCACATACAGCAACTAGAAGGATGTGCAGCTATGACATACAACTATCTACTGGGGCTTTGCGGGAAAAATAAATAAATAAATAAATAAAAATACATGTGTGTATCACAAACTGAAAGTGAAGGAATGGAAAAAGATACTCCATGGAAATGGCAATGAAAAGAAAGCTGGGGTACCAGTACTTATATCAGACAACACAGACTTTAAAACAAAAACTGTAACAAGAGACAAAGAAGGGCACTACATAATGATAAAGGGAACAATCCAACAAGAGGATATAACACTTGTAAATATCTATGTATCCAACATAGGAGTACCTAAATATATAAAGCAACTATTAACAGACCTAAAGGTGAAATAGACAGTAACATCATAATAGTAAGGGACTTTAACACTCCACTTACACCAATGGATAGAACATCCGATCAGAAGATCAACAAGGAAACACTGGCCTTAAACGACACAGGAGACCAGACGGACTTAGTAGATATATACAGAACATTCCATCCAAAAACCCCAGAATATACATTCTTTTTGAATGCACAGGGAACATTCTCCAGGATAGATCACATATTAGGCCACAAAACAAGTCTCAATAAGTTGAAGAAGATTGAAATAATACCAAGCATTTTTTTCAACCACAACAGTATAAAACTAGAAATCAACTACAGGAAGAAAATTGGAAAAGCCACAAATATGTGGAGATTAAACAAAATGCTACTGAAGAATGATTGAGTCAATGAGAAAACCAAAGGAGAAATTTTAAAAGCATCTGGAAACAAATGAAAATGAAAATACGACATGCCAAAATTTATGGGATACAGGAAAAGTGGTTCTAAGAGGGAAGTTTATAGCAATACAGGCCTACCTCAACAAACAAGAAAAATCTCAAATAAACAATCTAACAGTGCACCTAAAGGAGCTAGAAAAACAACAAAGTCTAAAATCAGTAGAAGGAAGGAAATAATAAAAATCAGAGCAGAAATAAATAAAATAGAGACTAAAAACAATAGAAAAAAATCAATGAAATGATGAGCTAGTTCTTTGAAAAGATACACAAAATTGACAAACTTTTAGCTAGACTCACCAAGAAAAAAAGAGAGAAGGCTCAAATAAATAAGATCAGAAATGAAAGAGGAAAAATCACAACAGACACCTCAGAAATACAAAAGATTATAGGAGACTACTACGAAAAGCTATATGCCAACAAATGAGATAATCTAGAAGAAATGGATAAATTCTTAGAATCATACAACCTTCCAAAATTCAGTCAAGAAGAAAAAGAGAATCTGAATAGACCAATTACAAGAAAAGACATCAAAACAGTAACCAAAAACCTCCCCCAAAATAAAGGCCCAGGACCAGACGGCTTCCCTGGTAAATTCTACCAAACATTCAAAGAAGACATAACACCTATCCTTCTCAAACTCTTCCAAAAATTGAAGAGGAAGGGAAGCTTCCTAACTCATTCTACAAGGCCAACATGACCCTGATACCAAAACCAGACAAGGCAAACACATAAAAAAGAAAATTACAAGCCAATATTACTGATGAACATTGATGAAAAAATTCTCAACAAAATACCAGCAAATCAAATACAACAATACATTAAAAAGATCATACACTATGATCAAGTGGGATTTATTCCAGTCATGCAGGGATGGTTCAACTCTGCAAATCAATCAATGTGATAAACTACATTAACAAAATGAAGAATAAAAACCACATGATCATCTCAATTGATGCAGAGAAAGCAATTGACAAGATATAGCATCCATTTATGATAAAAACTCTTAATAAAATGGGTATAGAAGGAAAGTACCTCAACACAATAAAGGCCATATATGACAAACCCACAGCTAATATCATATACAACAGAGAAAAACTGAAAGCTATCCCTCTAAGAACAGGAAACAGACAAGGATACCACTTTCACCACTCTTATTTAACATAGTATTGCAAGTCCTAGCCAGAGCAATCAGGCAAGAAAAAGAAATAAAAGGGATCTATATTGGAAAGGAAGAAGTGAAACTGTCACTATTTGCGGATGACATGATTTTATATATAGAAAACCCTAAAGTATCCACCAAAAAACTTTTAGAAATAATAAATGAATACAGTAAAGTTGCAGGATACAAATCAACATACAAAAATCAGTTGCATTTCTATACACTAACAATGAAGTAGCAGAAAGAGAAATTAAGAATAAAACCTCACTTATAATTGCAACAAAAAGAATAAAATATCTAGGAATAAATTTAACCAAAGAAGTCAAAGATCTGTACACTGAAAACTATAAAACATTGCTGAAAGAAATTGAAAAAGACACAAAGAAATGGAAAGATACTCTGGGCTCTTGGATTGGAAGAATTAACAGAGTTAAAAGTCCATATATCCTAAAGCAATCTACAGATTCAATGCAATCTCTATCAAAGTTCAAACAACATTTTCAACAGAAATAGAACAAAGAATCCTAAAATTTATGTGGAAAAACAGAAGACCCTGAATAATCAAAGCAATCCTGAAAAAAAAGAACAAAGCTGGAGGTATACACTCTCTAGTTTCAAAATATACTACAAAGCTATAGTAATCAAAACAGCATGGTATTGGCACAAAAACAGACATACAAATCAAGGGAACAGAATTAAAACCCCAGAAATAAACCCATACATCTATGGACAGCTAATTTTCGACAAAGGAGTCAAGAACATACAATGGACAAAGGAAAGTCTCTTCTATAAATAGTTGGGAAAACTGGACAGCCACATGCAAAAGAATGAAAGTAGACCATTATCTTACACGATACACAAACATTAACTCAAAATGGATTAAAGACTTCCATGTAAGACCTGAAATAAAAATTCTAGAAGAAAACATAGGCAGTATGCTCTTCGAGATGGGTCTTAGCAGCATATTTTCAAGTATCATGTCTGACCAAGCAAGGGAAACAATAGAAAAAATAAACAAATGGGACTACATCAAACTAAAAAGCTTCTGCACAGCAAAGGAAACCATCAACAAAACAAAAAGACAACCTAACAATTGGGAGAAAATATTTGCAAACCATGTATCTGATAAGGAGTTAATCTCCAAAATATATAAAGAACTCAAACTTCTCAACAACAAATAAACTAACAACCCAATTTAAAAATGGGCAAAAGATCTGAACAGACATTTCTCCAAAGAAGATATACAGCTGGGCAATAGGCACATGAAAAGATGTTCAACATCACTAATTATTAGGGAAATGCAAATCAAAACTGCAATGAGATATCACCTCTCGCCTGTCAGAATGGCTACAATAAATAATAAGTGTTGGAGAGGATGTAGAGAAAAGGAAACACTCATACACTGCTGGTGGGAGTGCAAACTGGTACAGCCACTATGGAAAACAGTATGGAGATTCTTCAAAAAATTAAGGATAGAACTACCATACGATCCAGCTATTCCACTTCTGGGTATTTATCCAAAGAACATGAAAACATGAATGCTTAAAGATATATGCACCCCCTATGTTCACTGTGCGATAGTCACAATAGCCAAGAGTTGGAAGCAGCCTAGGTGCCCATCAAGGAACTAACGGAAAAAGAAGATGTGGTATATATACAATTCTCAGCCATAAGAAAAGATGAAATCTTGCTATTTGCAACAACATGGATGGACCTTGAGGGTATTATGCTAAGTGAAATGTCAGAGAGAGAAAGTCAAATACCATATGATCTTATAAATGGAAGATAAAAACAACAACAAACACATAGAGACAGAGATTGGATTGGTGATTACCAGAGGAGAAGTGGGGAGGGAGGATGGTGAAAGGGGTGATTTGCACGTGTATGGTGATGGATGATAATTTGTCTTTAGGTGGTGAACATGATGTAATCTACACAGAAATGTAAATATGATGTAACCTGAAATTTATATAATGTTATAAAACAATGTTACCTCAATAAAAATAAATTAATTATATAAAATATATGTG